AATCTCTTGGCAAAAAAAAAAAAAAAAAAGAAGAAGAAGAAGAAAAAAGGAAAAAGTATGATTTATCACTCCAATCTTGCAGTCTATGTAACACAGGCATCTCACTCCTGGGAATGAATAGTCCTGTTTGCCTCAGAGCAGACTGTAAACGTTTGATTCGTGACCAGACAACTTGACCTTTAATGACCTGCAACTGTCTAAAGTCAGCACAAAAATTTATGACCACCATCAGGCAGCTAGACGTCATTCCTCAGTACCATAATAACATCCTATATTTCTCTGGAATTGTTCCTTTCATATGCTGACTTCAGAATAACTTTCTGGTATAAAATGGTGGGACTGACACACTGGGAAGTTGTTCCAGTTTAAATTCTAGCTATCCAAATGACGGTCTCAGGAAGGACATGACAAACAGTATTTACTGCAATGTGAACAGATATCACCCTTGTCTTCATCAGCGGAGAGCTGATTGTGGACAATCAGCTGAAGGCAAGGCAGCCCCCAGCAATGACTCCCAGGCAGGCTCCAACCTCTAGGGCCAGTTCTATCTCTGATAAAACAGATCTTCCCTTGGTAAATGCCGTCACCTCCTCCTGCACTGATGCCAGACTGTTCGGGTCTGTTTATAGCTCCAGCCAGTGAGTTCAGCATGGCGATTCTTACTCAATGATGGAGAAAACTCAGATTGTAAGAGCCTACTTGTCTGAACAAATCCCAGACGCCAGGACTCAGGCCCTAAACTCTGCTCTGGAAAGACCCAAGAATCACTTGGAAGAAGATGGCAAATGAATACTGAAACCAAGCTGACCTTGGGTACAAGCCAGACCCTGTCAGGATACACACATCGGCTATGAAGTCTTGCTGGATGAAGGGCAGCCACGCTGCTGGGCTTGAACTCATGGCACATGGAACCTGGGAAAGGGGGGCTAACTGGAGACACTTTGGTAGTTCTTTCCTTGTATGGGGCTTTGGGTAAAGTGAAAGAGGAGAGGCAGATTTCACTGAAGTGGGAAACCACATTCAGGCAAGTAGGAGAGGGACCATACCTGGGAAATGGCACAGTCTGAGGAGGAGAAGCCCAGAGAGCTTCAGGGTTGAGAGACAACACCTTCCAGAAGCCATGTGAAGGCAGTGACTGGCAACTGGTAACTTGGCCTCCATGATATTCAGACAAGTGGAGTCTACCTCAAAATGGAGGCTATATCCCTAATGCCCTGGCCTTTCAGTAGTTTTCAGTGCTACTTTAGCTCTCTGTTCTCTTCAGAAGAGGAAAGAACCGATCTCTGAGGGAACATCTGACTAGAAAAGCAGCCCCTTCTTTCCTGCTCCAGGGCTAAAAAACACCAAACCCTTATGTTTTGGGGTCATGCATGGAGGAAAGGAATAAAGCATTTTCTCTGAGATAGGCCAGTAAACACCACATTATAAAAATTGTAATAACTATCAGTTACTGAGTATTTACGATGATGAGGAACTGTGCTATATGCTTAATGAACATTACTCATTTCATCCTCAAAAATACCTCAGGGTGAAGAGGTCATTGTTATTATTTTATAAGTAAGGAAATCAGAGCAATGAAATGTTTATACATTGCTTAAGGTCACATAACAAGTAGCATGTGAACTCAGCGCTGGCTCCAGCTTCACTATCCCTGAAGCAGGAGTAACCTAAACTGTGTTCGGATTGCTCAAGGGTCCCAAAGCTCACCTTATCCTCCCCTGTGTTTCAGGTACCATGAAGTGGGATGGATCCTGAAACAAAAGCACAGCTCAGGGTGGGCAGCAGTGGGGAGCTGCCAGGATAAACGAACGGTTTTAGTTTGATCCTTTAATCCCTGTCAATTTGGCCATTAAAGACAATTGATTTTGATTCCCTATTAGACCCCACAGGATGCCAAGTGCATTCGACGCTCAAGCTTCACGCAAACACCCATTGGCGGTTCGGCTGATGATGCACTAAGTGTGCTCCTTAAAGTGGGGTCCCTGATCAGCAGCATCAGAACCTCCTGCTGACCACTTAGAAATGCAAATTCTCAAGCCTAACGCTCCAGATCTGCAGAATCAGAAACTGCAGGGATAGGGCCCAGTAATCTGCCTGCCCACCAGCCCGGCAGGTCACTGGATGCTCGCTCACCTGTAAGAATCACTGCTCTACAGCATTAGGAGGTAGCACTAATTGAATTCTTTTTTTCACATGAAAAACACTTGCTCTAAATAGTCTTTCTTTCTTTTTTCTTAAAAAAATTTTTTTTACCTCATTTCCAAATCTTCATTCTCCTGTGGTACAAATTTGTACAAGGCAACATAGGTGTTCATCTGTAATGGTTCTTTGGAAAGAGATCCCTGGAAGATAAAATAAAAGACAAATGAGAGAATGAAGGAGGAAAACAGAAAATGAATTAAGTGAATGCCACGTAATTCTAGGGTATGGATCATGAGTGTTAAAATATCTAACTATTATTCGAGGCTTTGTTTCAACCATAGGTTTATTTTCAATTTCTTAGCTAAGTTTGATTTCATTAGAAACCACAACCAATTATGTAGAAATCTGTCAGAAATAACTACGAATTCTTCAAATAAATTTTTTCTTTGCTACAGTTGTTCATGAAAGGTGACAGGCTTGGCCCCAAGAATGGGAATATTCGCGCTATAGAAATAGGGACATAAGAATAGTAAACAACTTCCACTTCCTAAAATTGACTTTTTATCAGTTAGCCTAAAATTTCATATCTAGCCTATCAAAGAGACTCTGGTATAGTCAGGGGCAATTAGTTCAAGCATGTTGTGAAAAAAGCATAGTTTTTGACATCAGACCAATTTAGTTTCTATCAAAGAAGCACCATCTCCTGACCATGAAACCTTGCAATAATGGTAATAAAAGCTACCATTTTTGATAGCTTACTGTGTGTGCCAGGCATTATGTTACACGCATTAGCACACTTGAACCTCACAACAGCCCCCCATTGTTGTCCTCAATTTATAGCTTATCCAAGAGTCTTATAAGTGTTATATAAATATTACCCATTATTATTATCCAAATATGTGTCAATGCTATATAAATGTTTTCACTTTGTAATATATGATAAACACAAATTATATAATATACCAAATATATTGTATAATATTACTATTTTATAATACACAATATAACATAGGCAATATATACGCATATCATTATTCAACACGTTATATATGTGTATGTAAAATTATATATACAATATATAATTGTATAATATATTTAAATACATAATAATATGATAAACATGTACTATATAAGACATAAAGAAAAGTTGTGAACAACTTTGACTCACTCTGCTACCCAAAGCTCAAGTACCTTATGTTTTTGTTTTTTTTTTAAGATTTATTTATTTATTTTAAGACAGTGAGAATGAGAGAGAGAGAGAGCACATGAGAGGGGGGAGGGTTAGAGGGAGAAGCAGGCTCCTCGCTGAGCAGGGAGCCCGATGCGGCACTAGATCCCGGGACTCCAGGATCATGACCTGAGCCGAAGGCAGTCGCTTAACCAACTGAGCCACCCAGGCGCCCTCAAGTACCTTATGTTATATACTTCTGTCCCAGTCTATCTTGTTCTAATTATATGGATAGGTATTTATAATTATATAATTATATATAAATGGCATAAAATATAATATATACTTCCATACTATAAAATATGATCATAATAGATTATGTAATTATGTAATTTACACACCTTACATTGTATATCAATTTGTATATAACATATACAATGGTAACAAAAAGTATACAATACAATACTTATCCTTCTTACCTTTGATGCACTGTGAGAGTTTATTCTGTTCTAGGACCTACTAACTTGATTTCATAACCCACTTACGTAGTGACCTACAGTGTGATCTAAGGACCCTGCCTGGTCTGTCTTCTGCGACATCTGTGAAAATTAATAGAGGGAATTCTCACTAAAATGGAGTCAGGTGGTTGGGCAGGGGGAGCTCTTATGCCCTATTACTCGTAGTAGTCTGTTTAGACCTTGCTCTGGACACTACTTTAGCCACTACTTTACTATCCCAGCAGGAGGAGGGAAGGCCAACGGCTCAGCCAATGAAAGACAGACAGCTCAGCCAATGAAAATCCACTATATTTAGCACGCCTAGTTTCCTTCAATGGACTTTTTGTTTATAACAGTCGCCCCCATTTTTCCCCTCTCCTTTATAAAACATCTTTTCCCTTCTTTGCTTGGTGGGATTGCCTATGGTTTTGCCTTAGCTTACTTGTCCTGCATTGACATTTTCTGCTGTTTCTGAATAAACCTATATTTTGCCGGTAAAACAATTTTTTAAGGTTAACACAGTGATAAATACCTGTTGGTTTATGTTCTTCGCTTGGTGTCTGAAATCGTCAGTGCCATTTTCTGGATAAGTAAATACTGAAGGAGACAAGAAAAAGCAGGTGCTATTTATGAATCCAGTCACCATGTTTTGGAATCATGCCTGGAAGATGTGGCTTTATGTATTCCCTGTTCCCTAGCTTCTACTTTCCTCCTCACTGCCTTTTCCTCATCTTAGTGACACAGCTTTCATGTCATCTTCCACGTGAGGCTTCCCTGCGCCCCCAGGTGGCATTCCGGACCACCTCCTCTGCATGCCCGCACCCTTGTCCATGCCTCCAGCGAGCATGCATCCTCCTGAATACTTGGCAATTGTGTTCACAAGTTGGCCTTATTTGGCAGGGCATTTCATTCATCTTTGAAACAATGTTATTCATCTGTTGAATGTATCAAATCATTTGTTAATGGAACAGCGAATGAGGGATGGCCTAATTGTATTTGAATGACCTTTTCTAAATACCAGATTCTTTTATCTATTTTCAATATCTTGATTCCAGTTTCTTGATATCTATATTCTATTTTGCACATTAAAGCTTTAGTTTTTTTTTTTAAGGTTTATTTATTTGAGAAGGGGGCGGAAAGGGCAGAGGAAGAAGAGGGAAAGAGAATCTCAAGCAGACTCTGCACTGAGTGCTGAGTGCAGTGCCCCATGTGGGGCTTGATCTCACCACCCTGATATCATTACCTGTGTCCAAATGGAATGGACTGAGTCACCCAGACGCCCCTAAAGCTTTAGTTTTAAACTTCAAAATATTTTCTGGATCGCTTATTGTCAATGCATTGGGACTATTATTCACAATAGAAAACAAATAGTGGTTTCTCATTTAGTTTGTTTTGAAATATGTAATTCTCTTCCTTTTGTATTTAAGCAGCCACTCTGTGGTCTTTAATAAAGAACAAAACTTCCCCAAATGGGCAGGAGTTTTCACTGTCCACATGCACAGCTGGGGGAGATCCCTGATGGGTACTGGGGGGCTCTGCCTTAGCTAGTTCGGTCGGCCACATTCACCTCAGTGACCAACGTGACAGCCTTATTCTCACCACATGTATCTGCCTCAAACAAAAATGTGGCAAGTGTTTCCAAGTTTGTACAATAGAGTTTTGGTGTATAACCTACCAGTTAGATGACTTGACATTTAAAAAGAACACATTGCTGCTTTCTTCTTCCCTTTGGTCTCCCTTCAGATTATAAGGAAATATCAGTAAAGGAGGAGAAACACACCACAGAAAAGTCTGTAACCTATTTCAGTTACTGCATTGACATCTCCACTGTCCTTAAAATGAACTCAATAACTGTGATGCAGAAAACATGCTTCAGAACAAAAGCCTCTGTAAACGTACTGATGCTCAGTAAACATCTATTCTCCACAGTTTATAGTTCCAGAGCCTGTGCATGAAATTCCATGATTCCTTGGAAGCCTAGGCATAAATATGCAGTCATTGGAGGAACTCTGGTTTGTAGGTAAGTGGAAAATGATCCTATGGGCCCTGTCTGCCTCAATATCTGGCTACTCACCTTACTAATTTGAACTGAATGGAGGCCAATGATACTCTTCTTTGGGATTATGTGATTCCCTAAGAGCTTGGTGTAAATATTTGATTGCATAAGTATATAAAACTGGATACTTCTAAAAGAATATTGAATATCTGCAGGAAAAACATAGAGAATGTTCCTAGAAAATTCTTGATTGGAGTTAAAAAGGGAGACTTCATAGGCTACATATCAGTTTGAACTGATTTTACAATTTTGCAATTTCACATTTTAAGCTTTTTATTGAATATCCATTAGCCATGTGGTTCAAAATATGTACCAGTTTTGTGAACTATGCCGAAAATTATTTGAAGTGACTCCAAATGTATTTTTAACTATATGACTGAAAGCAGACCACTGCGGGAAAAAAAAAAAAAAAAGATTTAAAAGCCCATTCCTATGGGCTATTTCTAAGACTTTGATTTGAGGGAAAAAGAGTAAAGAAAGGTAACTATTTTACTACAAATATATCATATACTCTTTCTGTTTGGTGCTTTAAATTTGTTTTATTAAAAATTATTAGGTTGCTGATTTCACCCAGGACAAGTACTCAGAGAATATATCCATTATGCAGACATATTTTCTAATGTTTTGGAAGCAAATGAATCTTTAGTTTCTGCCACATCCCCAAAGGACTTTCTTCTTTCTTTTTTCATATTCTTTTTCACTTTGTAGTCCTGTGAAGACCATGTCCACCACTTTGTTTTCTAATGAGACGGCTATCTGGTTTTTCTTCTTCAAGCTAATAATGTACAAGTTATGTTACTTGCTTATCTAATACAAACACAAATTTGCATCCCTGGAATAAATCTAACTTGGTAATTATGCATTACTTTTAAAAAATAATTATTGGGGGTGCCTGGGTGGCTCAGTAGGTTAGGTGTCTGCCTTTGGCTCAGGTCATGATCCCAGAGTTCCAGGATTGAGCCCCGAGTTGGGCTCCCCCCTCAGCGTGGCATCTGCTTCTCCCTCTGCTCCTCCCCCAGCTAGTGCTCTCTCTCTCTCTCTCTCTCAAATAAAATCTTTAAAAAAATTATTGGATTCATTTTACTAAGATTCTGTTTCAGATTTCTGCATCCATGTTCAAGATGGAGACTAGCCAGTGATTTTCCTTTCTCAAGCTGCCTTCAATTGGTTTTGAGGTCAGTATTAGACTAGCCTCATAAACTAAGTTAAAGAATATAGCAGCCGTTTTTCCCTGCAACTTTTTCATTTTCCTGAAAGAGCTTACATAATCTGGAAATTTTCCATTCCTTAAATATTTGGTTGAGTTTACTTTTTTAAAGTTGTCTGGGCCTGGTATTTTTGCTGTGCAAAATTTAAAATATTGATTCATTTTCTATTATGACTAGAAGCAAATTTAAGTTCTCAGGTTTTCTATTTCTTCCTGAGTCAGATTTTGGTCATCGATCTTTTTCTTGGTTTGTGTCCATTCAAAAAAGTTTTAAAATTTATTGGCGTGAAATTGGTCATGAGATTCTTTTATTTTCCTTTCAATCTCTGTCATAGTCATCCCTTTTCATTATTGCCTTTCGCTTCATCTCTTTTATTCTTAAAAACATTGTTAGTGATTGTAGGGATGCCTGGGTGGCTCAGTTGCTTAAGCACCCCAACTCTTGAATTCAGTCCAGGTCATGATCTCAGCGTCATGAGACTGAGCCCCTTGTTGGGTTCTGTGCTGGGTGTGCAGTCTGCTTAAGATTCTCTTTCTCTCCCGGGGCACCTGGGTGGCTCAGTCGTTAAGCGTCTGCTTTCGGTTCAGGTCATGATCCCGGGATCCTGGGATCAAGCCCCACATCAGGCTCCCTGTTCAGAGGGAAGCTTGCTTCTCCCTCTCTCACTCCCCCTGCTGTGTTCCCTCTCTTGCTGTGTTTCTCTCTGTCAAATAAATAAATAAAATCTTAAAAAAAAAAAGATTCTCTCCTAGCTTGTGCTCTTTCTCTCTCTCAAAAAAAAAATTCTTAGTGATTTTGAGTTTTATTTCTTTTTTTAAAAGATTATTTATGAGAGAGAGAGAGACACTCATGTGAGTGGGGGAGGGCAGAGGGTGAGGGAATCTTCAAGCAGACTCTGCACTGAGTGGGGAGCTTGACGTGGGGCTTGATCTCAGTACCCTGAGATCATGACCTTTTTATTGCCTTCCTACTGCTTTTTGGGGGCTTATTCTATTTCTTTTTTGACTTCTCAAATATGATGCTTAGGTTATTACTTTTTGGGCTTTTTATTTTTTAATATAATACTTTTATTTATTTTTTAAAGATTTTATTTGTTTATTTGAGAGAGAGTGAGCACATGAGCAGGGGGAGGGGCAGAGGGAGAGGGAGAAGCAGACTCCTGGCTCAGTGGGAAGCCTGATGTGGGGCTTGATCCCAGGACCCCAGGATCATGACCTGAGCCAAAGTCAGATGCTCAACTGACTGAACCACCCAGGTGCCCATAGAATACTTTTAAAGCAAAATATTCTAGTCTCAATTTAGCTACATCCCGCAAATTTTGATCTGTAGTGTTTTCATTATGACTTATTTTAAGTATATTCCAATTTTTATTATAAATTCTTTTTTGACACATGAGCTTTTTGAATGTATGTTTTAATTTTCAAAATGATGGGTTCTCCTATAACTTTTGGTGATTGGTTTCTATCTTATTTGCATTATAGTCAGAAAGGTGTGTTCTCTATAATATTAATTCTGTGGAAATTTATGAAGCTTTCTTTATGGTCTAGCAGGTGATCAATTTTTATAATTGTTCCGTGTCCTTAAAAAGAATGTGAATTCTCCATTTGTTAGATGGAGTGCCCTTTTTAAGTCAATTAGACTAGGATTGTCAAATGTGTCCTCAGATTCTCTAAATACTGAATCTTTTTATGCATCTGCTTTGCCAATGACTTGAGAGGCATGTTAAAACCTCTCACTATGAAGGGGACTGTCAATTTCCCTAATGCTTCTGTCAATTGCTCCTTGAGTTCCTGTCACTTTAGGGTATATAAGTAGACACAAGTTTAGAATTTATATCTTCTGATGAAGTGGATATGATCATGTAATGATGCTTTTTTTTCTCTAGTAATGCTTTTCTGATTTTAATGTCCATTTTTTTCATACATTAATACAGCTATACAATCTTTCTTTTGTCTTTTAAAATATATGTTTTTTTTACTTTTAAACTTTTTATATCCTAATGTTTTAGATTGTTGTAAATAGTCATTTAAACAATCCAGTGTGTAAAGCTCTTTTATCTAGGGCTTAGTTAATTTACATTAATTTTGATTACTGATAAATTGGGATTCTCTTCTAGCATTTTATTTTGTATTTTCCATTTGTCTCAAATTTTCTATGCTTTTTCTTCTACTTCTGTGCCCTCTCCCCTTTCTTCCTTTTAGGTTATATGGCTAAAGCTATTTTTTAATCTTCTAGTGGTTAGTCTAAAAATTTTATGAGGTATATTTAACTTAACAAAATCTAAAGTGAAAGAATATCTTTAATTTCCTTCCAGTTAATATGAAAATCTTTGA